TTTATCCAAAACCTCAGAGAACATCTAGCTGAATATGTCATGGAATATGAACGGAAACAAAAGTTTTACTTCATAGATATAACTCAGGACATTTTCTTTCTAAAAGGATATATTGTATCACTCAAGTAAGGAGAGGCTTTCACAGCTGAATGCAACTCAATGACTATAGATTTTGAGTTAAGGACCAACTCCTTTTCGCCTTCCCCACTGATCATCCATCCAAATCACTAGTTTTATTTAAGCTCCATTAAAAATCTACACATTGCTTAGACTTGTCCTCATTACTTTCAAAAGAACCCAAATAAAACTCCTGTTAATGGAATGGGCTTGGGCTCTCCCAGGCCAGGCAAATGAGTGTCAGCCCGGAGGCTTCTGAGCACCACATCAAGGAATTCTAACATTTCTCAGGAAACCCTTGCAGATGATGGGGATCAACCACCTAGTCCTTGCACTGTGTTCACGCTCCCCAGTGACAGAGCCACAGGACACCTTCCATGACTTCCCCATGTGGAGACTCCTCTCTGCTTCATCCTCCACCCAGAGCCAACTGCTCAAGTGGTTTTCCATTCCAGGCTTTTCTCTCACCTTCTGAGAATCTGGGCCCTGCCACCACCTGGCTTCATAAAAATCAGCTCCCACAGAAGCACCTGCAGTTTCCCAAAGCCCAAAACTGCCTTAGCTCAGAGCCTTTTTACTCAAAGCCTCCATCTGGAGTCTCACCTCCACACTCCTTTTGAAACTTACTCTTTAGATTGTAGAGAAAATCTTACCACATTCCTGATATGGCGTCTGTAGCTACACTTTACCGTTTTAGGGGTAGGGATAAGTCTTGCTTTTAATAGTAACTTCACTACTAACGGTAACTTCTATGAGCAAATGCGGATATAATGGTCATCAAATAAACGAGTCACTGACATTTTTATTTATTACAATTTACTTTTTGCTACTTTCTTACATAAGGCAAGCAAACCAGGTATGTATCTTTAGTTTCAAGAACAACAAACTAAAGGGCCTGCGTAAAGCAAATATTAACAATCCTTTACTTTGTTCCACTATTTAAGTGCAGAGTTCCTTCACAGTTTCAAGAAAATTCCTACAGCAATACCACATTCACCTGTGACACATCACAAAATGAGGCAGGTTTTCCCAATGTGGTGTGTTTGTGTGTGTTTTTGTTTTTACAAAATATCAAACTGTTACTCTTAAACCAGATAAATAACAATACATCTGTGACTAATATTCGTAAACTAAGATTCTGAAGCTATTTAAACCTGTTATTAATAGGAAAAGCATTTGAAAAATACCCAAAAGGAAAACAGGTAAATCCCTTAACCACCCATATGGAACAGAAGTGCAAACAGCACTGTGTTCTCTCCAGCCTCAGCCGGGCCCTCCACCACGTGGAAACTCGACCGCCCTCTTCAAACTCAGAGGGAAGAATCTACCCCAGACTTCACTCAGAAGAGAAGCTGGGGGACACAACACTGGAGCTTGCACTGTCTGTGGCAGTGGAGTCATCTGTGGTGTCAATTATGGCCTGGGCTCTCTCTTCCACATCTTTCAAAGCCTGCTTGTACGAGGGTGGAAAGGAAATAGGGACGGTATTGTTGAGCATGGCCAAAAACTCCACTACTTTCCTCTTACTGATTTCTGAATGAGCTCTTGGACCCCACAGGAATTCGTAACGAGGAGGAGCAGTGTTGGGCACCTCCCGGTACTCTAGGTAATGTTCCTGCACCCAAACTTTAGTGAGGAGCTCCCTGGGCTCCCCAAAGATAAAGTGCTCCCTCCCAGCACGCACCCCTATTCCACTCAGCACATCCCAGATGACCTCCTCAGAGGCACAGGTGCCCTTCATGAAGATGATACTCAGAACAAGAAACAAGAGGTGGTTCTGGGGCACGCCCTGCTCATCACTCACACTCCCCTCACAGCTGAGCTCTAATGTGTTTACAAAGACGTAGGAGTCCTCAGGGTCCACCTCTCTCAGGGAAATGCCAAAAAGAATCTCTATGAACTCACGGGCTTTCCTGAAGATCATAGGAAAGTAGCCCCTGTACCTGTCGATGACATTCGTCACCATCTCTGCCTTTGTGACAGGCTGCTTCGCTCGATATTTGAGGAGAAGAAACCGCACCAACTCGTCCACCTTTTCATCCAGTGTATAAGTGAACAAGGGCTCGCTCTCTATCAAGGACTCACTGTCTGTCAAGGACTC